ATTTTGGCATTTAAGCATAATTTTAGTTATTTTCAATAGCATTCAATAGCATATTTTCAGCATTTGCACAATAATATTACTGCAGTCAAATCATAAACAGTCTACTTAAAAAGACCAAAAACAACTAAGCAAGTCACATGAGTAGTTCAAATGCCACAAAGCCATTCAAAATTTAAAAGCAGAATGAGTACTTTAAATGCATAAGCCGTTGAATAGCAACTACAGTACTCCATTTTATTCTTAAATTGATCCCTTGATAGCTCCTTGATGAAGATCCAAGTAAGCAAAGAAAGCTGTCCAAAGATCACAAAAGAAAGGAAGCAAGTACTTCAAGAGATCACTGGTTTGGTCAATCAACTTTATAAACAACTTTAGATGTATGAGAAAGTAGAATCCATTTAACAGCGGCATGTTTGATTCAAATTCAGAGACTTCATGAAATTCTTTTAATTTCCTGAGAGCAAAAAATATGTAGAATAAATGCTTAAGAGTGTAATAAGTTAACAAAAGACATAAACATGGGGAATATTCTTATTTTCTCCAACCTCCTCACTTTTTACCCACTTAAATTCAAACTTTTCAATCTCCTTTAGTACCCATAAATCAGACATGCCGTTGTCCGACCCCATAAGCAATTAGTAAGCATCAAATTATAATATGTAAAAGCAAACAAAAGAGTTGAAAGTAAATTAAAAAGCCCAAATCCAAATAGTTAGCATACAAAATCGCTTGAGTGAGGATCAAAAAAAAAAAATCGCTTGAGAAGCATTTTAACAAATAGTTAGCATACAACATTCAATTTGTCACAAACCTTATTTCATTAAAAACGCCAAATTTGTAAATGTCACAAACCCTATTGAATGGAAAACCCCAATTTGAAAAACCTAACATTCAATATTACAAAACTTAGCACCTAATTAGAAAACCTAACACAGAATATTAACACAGAATGTGTCAATTGTGTTTTGTGTGTCTCTGCATGCTGCTGCGTGTGTAATGTGTGTGAGTGTGCGTGTGTGCCTCTGCCTTGGGTGTGGGTGGGTGGGTGAGCGAGGGTGATCTGTAGCGTGTTATGTGTGCGTGGGTTGTTGTGTTTGTGTGTATGTGTGTGAGGTGAAGGAAGAGAGGTATGGCAAAGAGAGAGAGAGAGAGAGAGAGATACCTGGGTTGTGTTGTCAATGGGTTGAGCTATGGCAGAGAAGAGCAAAAGGTGAGAGGTAGAAGAGATTTGCAGGATAGAAAGAGAGAGAGAGAGATGGTGGTAGCGGATGTGTTACTGTTTGAGTTGGGATCTTCTATGAGAGAGGGAGAGAGAGGTAGAGAGACGGTCTGACTGGGATTGGGTGGCGTGTAGGAGTTGGGTAACGTGTAAGTGTGTTTAATTTTTGGGCGGGATTTGGCCTTTGTATAAGATGTATTTTGAGCCTTTGGATTATGTTGAAAAAATTGAGATGAAATTTGGACCTTTGAATTAAAAGTGGATTTAATCTGAGTCGTCCTTGTGCTTTTCCAAATAATTAAAATTGAATTAAATTTTAAAATAGAAAAAGATTCAAACTGGGTCCTATCTTATTAGTATAGATGTGCATATGACCTTCAACTTGTACTAGTTGTTGTGGTTGGCAGCTTCTAAAATGGAGTATGATGATGCTATTCTGTGTATCTTATAGCTTCAATATTACTACTTCTAATGAACATCTTTTTATATTAGTTTCTCTTTATTTTTTGTATCCTTACTTCCATCATAATCCCAAAGACCCCTAGGCATTGCAGGTCTGTTACAAATGGAGCTCTAAAATGGATGAACGACAACCTCTAGTCCAATTTGTTGATGAAGGTACATGGTCATTAATACAGGCCTTTGTGTAACATGGGGCCATACATTTTGTGCTCCTGACAATCGTTACAATAGAATATGCGGCCCTATTCTTCATCACTACGATGGCCCTAAGTTTTGAGTTGAGCTTAACATTCCAGAGGTAATTACTCAACATTTCCTTAACAAGCTTTTTGCTTAAAGCACTTTATAATGCACAGCCTGCTAAAATATTGGTCTGATTTTGGATTTTGCAGACTCTTTCTCTGTTGGATATATTTACAGAAAACAATTCTTGAACAACATGCCATACAGGCAACACACCTAACATACAATACAGTGAAGAAAAATAGGAGGATGAAAGTAGAAAAGGGTTAGAGAGTGGTTTGACTACAATATGTTTTGTGAAGAGTTTGAAAGAGGAAGATGAATGGAAAAGGGTTTTGTACATATAACCTATATGATGATGTATAGTCTTTTGGCATGGAGGCTGTTATAAGTGCTTGTCGTTATTTGGCTTGGGGTACACTTATATAAAGATATATAATGAAATATTGAATTCTATTTATCGCGGCTTCAAAATGTACAAGAAATGAATGGTATTGTTGCTTCTTTTTTATTTTTTTGAGGTATATAAAGTTCAAGTCTCCTCTGTTTGTGATGTTGTGAGGAAGCATTGCTATTGAAGAATAACTACTTAACTAGCACGTGAAATGAATCAAATTCATGTGGCTTGTTTAAAGCTAAAATGCTTTTGAAATTTTTATAGTTGGGTTTAATATGTATTGGAATTGGCTAGGAAATTTAGTTAGAGAACTTGAATCATTCTCTTTTTAAATTATGCTTTTATGAATTTTATTTTCGATTATAAAATAAGTTCAAAATTATTATAAAAACAGAATTAAATTCTAAAATTTATTTAAATTTTTTTTTTGACCGGTGAATCATGATGTAAGAAATTAGGTGGAGTAATTAGGTTTTATGAAATTTATTACGAGTAGGTTGGAGATTTTTTGCTAAGAAAAAGTCATTATAAAAGGCTAAAAAGACGTTTTTAAAACTTCATTGCAGATAAAAGGATAGAAAATGTCATTGTTAATAAAGGGGGTAGAAAATGGTTTTAAAAACGTCATTGTAAATGACGTTTTGACCCTTTTTATTTTTTTTAACGTCTGTCGACAGCTATTAAAAAACGTCATTATAAATGAAGATTTTAAAAATGTCATTAAGAATGACGTTTCAAAAAAAAATTTAACTTTAAATCGTCATTTCAAATGACATTTTAACATCTAAAAACGTTATTTCAAATGATATTTTTTAAAAAAAATTGAGTTTGAAAAATAAGTTCAAAACTCATTAGATTTTAGAATTAAAATTTTAGGGGGCTGAATTTAAGGAAAACCTCAGTTGTTCATTGATACTCTCAATAAAATAAGTAACTTGAATAAATAAACAGTTCGATACAAAGAAAGAATTGAACTAAAAAAGAATTGAACAATAGTAAATTCAACAAACACATAAAATAATTGAACAAATTTGACGAAAAAAAAAACCCTATTCATGTGATATGTGTGAGTGATTCCATGTCAATCGATGTTGAGTAGCAGAAGATACTGGATTAAGAAAAAATAAAAAGGAAGAAAAAGAAAACGAAGGAGTAGAGACCATACCTGTGTAACCTCTTTTTGAGAGATGACGAGGCTAAGGAAATTGAGATTTTTGAAATTGCGAAATATTTTAAAATAAAATTATTATATTACAAAAATTATAAAAAAAACACTTTTTTTGAATGTTTTTAGTTTTCAGAATTAAATAAAAAAATTTTTTTACTTAATAATTTAGTCTATTTTTAAAGAGTATTAGTATATTAAGAGATTTTAATTTTAATTATCAAACAGATTTAATGAATAATTATTAAATATTGTGCTAAATTTGGGAAACACACCCTATTTTTGACGATGGACTGATGAAATGAAATCAATTCATTTTTTTCTCCCGTGTGATTTTTCCTTCCGCCCCTTTCAACTCCTTTTATAATTACAGTCGGACACCGTAAGACCAAACCTACCTTCTTTTTGACTTTCCAGTTTGCCCACTCTTTCTCTCTCTCTCTTCTTTGTTTACTCTCGGCCATATTTGTATGCAAGCAATTCAATCATTTCTTTATAGTTTCTGTGCCACAATCTCTAGGTACGTCTCTCCCTGGATGCATCCACAGTCTGGCTGATATATAAATATACAAGAATGAGTTCGTATACGAGTATATTTCTCTCTGTTTCTGTACGTATATAAATATATACTATTTGATTGAATTGATGGCTCTCAAGAATCAAGATGAGGTGCTTTTTTTTTTTTTTTTCTCTATTTTGTATATAATTTGCTTATGCCTGATCTTATAAAAGCCACTTTGCTGTAAAAGAACGATAATTCTGATATTGATTTGGCTCGTGATCCATGAATTGGTTCATCCTAATTAAAATTTACTAGCTATTCAATGAATTTAACATTCTCATAAGAAAAAATATGGAGTTTTACGCATATCTTCTCTGAATGGCTTGCAAATTTGCGTTTTTCATGGTTTGAGTTCAGTTTCAGTTGCAAATTGTGTTGTATGAAAATATAATCAATCATTCTCTTAGGACTCTGATTCGGAGAGTTTATGTTGTTGATAGGCAAATTCTAATTGTGGACTTTCAGAAGCTTGGAGGTATCAAATTATCAAGCTTTAATAGTGTCGCCATGAAATTGGATATAACTTTTTTTGAGTTCGTGGTGTTCTATTTGCATTCTATTTGATTGGTTAAGAGAATTTAGTTGAGATGGTGATTATGCAGTTGATATAAGAAAGGTGTTGTTTGGTTTGGAACTCGAAGGGGAATCTTAATGTTGACCTAATCAACTGTATCTTGCGAATGCTTCAAACACTAGCTCCTCATCACAGTGTTAATGAATGCATCCACAATTTCCACTCTACTGCTTTCAAAAAAGTAGGTAAGGAAAGCTGGAAAAATTAATGACTGCATTAGAATAGCAATGGAAATTGGTATATGGCTGGCCCATTTATATGATGGGTTGAGCTCATGCCTTCCCATCTCAGCTATGCTACATGTTTCCTTTAAAAACAAATAACGGTGACATCTTACATCCGCTACCTCAATTGTGCACGCGAAGCATTCAAAACATCATACATTGGAGAAAATCATTTTGTTACCTCTGAAATGCTTACTTTTAATTTATGTGTGTGCATGTATGAACTGATATATGAAAGACATATGGGTTTGCATCAAGAACTAACTGAACTTCTGAAATTTAAAACCCAGAAACTTTTTTCTGCTATCTTATTGTGCCTTAGAACTTTCCCCGATATTTCTCTAAAGAAGACACAATCTCTGATGACATCTGGATGATTTTGGGTATCTAGTCTGTGCATTAAGGATGAAAGGAGGCTTGCATGGACTGAGGAATAAACATGTCTATCTCATCCTGATTGCTCTTGCCTGTGCAACTGTGGTTGTGTGGCGTTTTGAAATCCCCCTATTTCTTACGTTCATACTTCCGCCTCAGAGTCATGTCTTGTGGTTGTCTCCAGGTTGGCCCCCATTAATTTTTTTTCTATTTAACATGATTTCTTTTTGTCAGTCAATATTTAAGATTGGCTATGTATAGATTGATCCATTGCAACAGGTTTAAGTGAGTAAATGAAAGTTGTAAAGAGTGCATCATAATATTCTGTGTATCCTTTTATTTTCATACCAAATAATTAAGGAACCAGCCATTAAATCTCACTGAAATTGAGTGGGATAGCTCATACATTATTGGAATAGGATGCACTCGGGAGCGATTGAAATTGGAAGGGGGCACAATCAACGGGAAAAAAAAAAGTGCGGTAAGTGAGCAGGAGGAATATCAATGCTTTTGGAAATCAGCTCCAATGGGACCTCAAGAAATGCTCTCCTAAAAGAGCATGATTACAACAAATTGTAATAGCAACTCCTGTTGAAGACCACGGTAGCATGTTGCTTCTGCTGTAACCTTTGAGGATATGGGAAACTTGATGAACATAGTGTTGTACCCTTTCACTTGGACTATTAGCCTGCTGGACCCCATCAAATTGGCATGGCTGCATTTTGTTAGAGCAACATTTTCATTTTCACATCATTACTTCTAGTTCCTAGTTTTACTGTATTGAATTAGTGGTTGCAATTCGATATATCTTCCCCTTTTTCATGTTGGGATTGTATCGTGAAGTGTTACTCATCTGTAATTTTTCATGATGGCAGATGGAAAAATAAAAGACAAACAAGTTTTAGAAGGAGAAAATAGCCCAGATCAATCAGAAAAAGGTGTGGATTTGGAAGTGCCAATGAATTCCTTAAACACAAATTCTTCTGTGAGAAATGAAGAGAAAAGAAGCTCAACAAATATTTTGGACAAAGAGCAGGGTAGGATTTTACTTGTGCATGACCAAAGCTACTTCTTTTTAGGTGATACCTGTATTATAGACATTATGAATTTCTACACCACATATCATCCATCTAAAATGCTGTGGCCATTGTTTCCTTCATTGAATTAGTTCTACCCCTAGGATATTGTGCTCATAGTAATTTTAAGATGGCCTTTTGTGATTATACAATCATAATAGAACTTGTCACTATGTATTTCATATGATTTGAAGGAGAAATATAGATAGCTGACCTTTCCGAAAAAAACATAGACATCTGGAAGTAGATTTTGTTGCATATAAGCATATTGAAGAGATAGGGTGCCCAGTGATTATTTGCATGCTGAATATTCCATTTGATAGGTTCTTCAGTTGAATCTAGAGATTATCTATTGTCCTTATGTTCCTTATATATCAAGCTTTTGAGGTCATCAGATCAGCTTGGCCTGTCTTTGCCATAACATGATATTCTGCTTCAATCATTACTTTCCAGTTTCATTTCCATGAACTGAGTTACACAGTCTAGGGTATTTTTGATATGATTTGTACTGGAAACTTATAATTGGTGTTTCAATCTGTAAAATCATCTCATATTTGCGACTTTTATTTTTTTGTCCTGTGGTGGTGTAGAAATCCCCCCTAATGTAACAGAAGTCTCAGATATCAAACAAGTTTCAGAAGAAAAGAATAGTTCAAAGCATGGAGAAAAGAATCTAATAGCACAAATGAGTTCTGTTAAAGGAGAATACGAGAACATTTTGGCGACTCGTGTGGAAAATCAAGGTAGAAACATGCTTGAATTCAAATTCTTTGTCCAATGGTTCACCCTTAAATTACTCAGATTTTCAATTCTCCGAGTACTTGAGCAATTTACTTTTGATTAGTTCTTGGAGCAAATACCAGAAGACGTACTGATTTGTCTTTTTGGTGCAAATTTGGGCTACTTCCATTTCTTAGGCGTGGTCCTTAATTTTGTTTATTTACAAACATAGTTGTACTCCTACATGTTGTTCCATACTAATCTATTACTTCTTAAACCATGTAATTACTTGACCATACGTGCAGCACATATTATGTAACTGCTCTGTGACTGCTATATTCTTATTTCAGCCTGTAACTATGCTAGAGGAAAATGGGTCACAAATGATAGTTGGCCTTTGTATTCTGGATTTGGATGCAAGCAATGGCTGTCATCAATGTGGGCTTGCCGCCTGACACAGCGCAAGGATTTTGAGTATGAGAAATTACGGTGGCAACCAAAAGATTGTGAAATGGAAGATTTTACGGGCTCTAAGTTCCTGAGAAGGTAATGTCATATTTTGTCTTAGGATTGGTATCGGAGTTTGCAATGCAGTTGGACCAGCCTATCCTATGCCTAAGAATTAGATGTTGTTTTTTGTCCCACTAATGCTTTCTATGCTGGGCTCAAACTTACTACTTTTAATGTTGGGCTACATTTGACTTTCATTATCTTCAGGGTAAAAATTACAATTAGCCCTCAAACTGTCTTCTGTTTTAAAATGGTCCTTGAATTTTCAATTGTATCAATTAAGTCCTTCCATCAATTTTAGCCGTTAGAACAAACGGAGGCCAACCACATGTTTGTCATGTGGTCATCCACATCATGACGTAATTGAGATGAAATTGATAGTTGACAGACCAAATGGAGACAACTGAAAGGTGAAGGACCATTTTAAAATTGGAGACAGAGTTTAAGGACTAATTATGATATTTACCTTTATCTTAAACATGGTTTGGGTTCAATTAATGTATTGGACAGGATGACCTGACCAAACCAAGGTAGCTGCCCTTAACTAGCCCAGAAAGGTGGGCAGCTGTGGGGACATTGAGCTTGCTCTAACTGTGAGCTAGTTCTGCCCTTAATGTTGTTGTTAATGTTGCCACCCTGCTCTGGAATTTCCATCTCATCTATTGGCCACATACTACGTAGTCTACATTTAGCGGCTAGTTTGCTCATTGTGTCACATGATATGATGTGTATTCTCCCTTCCACTCGCTCATTTGTGTTCGTTAAGTTTGTTTGTGCCTGGGATCATATGAATTGCTTAGTTGTGACGATGCATTTCAGGATGCAGAATAAAACTCTAGCTTTTATCGGGGATTCATTGGGACGACAGCAGTTCCAGTCACTAATGTGCATGATCACAAGTGGTGAAGAGAGGGCTGATGTTCTGGATGTTGGAAAGGAGTACGGTCTTGTCAAAGCTCGTGGTGCTGCACGCCCTGATGGATGGGCTTATCGGTTCACGAGCACCAATACTACCATACTGTATTATTGGTCTGCGAGCCTCTGTGGCTTGGAGCCCCTTGATATGACTAACCCAACCACAGATGTTGCCATGCATCTTGATCGGCCACCAGCTTTTTTGCATCATTTCCTTCACAAATTTGATGTCCTTGTTCTCAATACTGGACACCATTGGAATAGAGGGAAGCTCAAGGCTAACCGTTGGGTCATGTATGTTGGTGGTGTGCCTAATACCAATAGGAAAATTGCAGATATCGCAGGCGCCAAAAACTTCACAGTTCACAGTATCATCGAGTGGGTAAACTCTCAGCTACCAAAATATCCGGGCTTGAAAGCATTCTACCGATCTATTTCACCGAGACATTTCTTTAATGGAGATTGGAACACTGGAGGTACCTGTGATAATACCACCCCGCTCTCTGGTGGGAAGGAAGTTTTACAGGACGAACCTAGTGATCATCTTGCTGCAGGGGCAGTGAAGGGAAAACAGGTTAAGCTCTTGGATATCACAGCTCTGTCTCTGCTGAGAGACGAGGGTCATAAATCTCGATACAGCCTTAAAGCCACGCCAGGAGCACATGATTGTCTGCATTGGTGCTTACCTGGTGTTCCAGATACATGGAACGAAATTCTTTTTGCGCAGCTGTAGTCCAACAAAGCTGGCATCTAGTGACGAATAAGGGGACACCCCCTCTTAATGGCTTGAAACAAAAAGAATTACCTGTTGCCACAATTCTTTTACAAGTGCATTCACACACAGTGGAAGATGTCATTCAATAGAGTTACCAATTGGAGTTTGTGTTCTACACAGATATCCTGACGAGCTGTAGCAATCTGTGATCGATAGCCTTATTGAACGGTCTCTTTCATGCATACCGTAGCTTGCTTCATTTTTCTTTTTGGTTAGTTTTAATATATGAAATGGTTGGACAATTACCAAAGAACGTCCTCTCTTGAAGAATAGAAAAACCCTTCTAAAAGTGGATGATGGGGAAACAAGAATTAAACACCCGAACATACCAAACATTCTCTTTACTGTTTAAGGATCTTTCAATCTCTGACAATGCATTAAGTCGTCAAATTATTTCTCAATATCATTATTGAATATGCAGTGGAGTGGTGCTTACATTACTTACCTCAACATTTTTTTTTTCTGAACTCGTCTTGACCTCAACATTGAGATTTCGTCGTCTTGGGATTAACTATTGATATCCATGAGTGACTGGATGTGATTTGAGCTTGTCATGCGTTTATTGGAGTGGGGCTCCTTTCAAATCTCTTATTTTTAAAGTGGATCAGGGTAGACTAATTGATTTCATGATTGTCTTCCTCTCTGATCTTATCATGTATACTAATTCAACGGGAAATTATTGTCCATAAATAATCGTATTACTAAAATCAGGTGGTTAAAATATAAACACAAAAGACAATTCGTGATGCATTATTGTAGTAGTTGAAATCTTCCAGGGGATCTTATCTAAAGATGCATCCTTTTGAACTTTGGTGATTTATTAGGTATATTATTAATTTATAAAAGTGGGACAAAGACCTTGACGTTCCCTTGTTAAATAACTATTGTCACCCCCTCTATCATTTCTGCTTTTATTACCATTGTCATCACCACTTTCTTTAGAAACACCACCACCACCACCACTACTATTGGGCCCATTTTTGCCATCACTATCGTAGTATTATCACTAACCCTTGTCCATTATTATCACCGTTAGCACCACCACTATTGTCATTATAGTTATCATTATCAGAAGCATCACAACCAAGAATGTCGTCTCCACCACTACTGACTACCATAGTCACCACTTGCCAAATAGCATCACAAACTCAACTAGTATTGTTGTCGTTGTTGTGACCACCACCGTTGTTTACAATATATATTTTATAGGATTCCTATTGGACTCACCGGTGGTGCTTACTCAATTTTTTTTCTCTTACCATTATTTATATATTTTATAATTTTCTTAAGGATTTTTTTATTATGCTCACCTTATTTGTATCACTTATTAGACCTACACCAATGACTATCAATTTTTCAATATATTTTCTACACATTCTGTTAAAATTTTTACATATTGAGATTATTTTATAATTAATCTTGTTGAATTTTTTGCGTGTACACACTATACAGTGATTATTTTTTAATTAATAAAATTTTAATTCTCAAACATAAAATATAAAATAAATAAATATTAATATATTATTTTTTTCTCTCTTAATTTGGTTGGGTTTTGAGGCTCGCCCTCTATTACACTCGATTTTGGTCAATTTTGACTAATTTAATTAAGGTGAAGAGGCTTATGTTATATAACATGACAAAGGATAAGAAAAGGAAAATTCAGTTAAATATCATTATTCTTCATGGTGGCAATCTTCCACACGTCAAGAATTCGGGTAACTTAGCCAGTTGGGCTTTGGACGCCGGCCGATTACCCGTCAAACAATCATCGGCCATAATGCTATTTATTTATAGGGTTATTTTCAAATTACAAAAAATGGTTCAAATTCTAATTTATACTTTTAAAATATCAAAAAATTTAATTTATACCCTCAAAAATAAAAATTTATATTAATGCGCACTTCAAGCTAATAATCGTCAGTTTGTCATTTAAAACTAAATAGATAAATTACACATAAATCTCCTCGTACTTATCACTTAATCACCTAAACCCTTCATATTTAAAATATTACAGTTACATCCCTTTAGAATTCAAATATAACTAAAAATATTCCCTCCTTAATTAAACATCTAAATAATTCTGTTTACATAATGTATTGTATTAGATATAAAGAACATTATATAAATATCTGCATTATATTAGATATTCAAATGGTAAGTTTGATTGTAAACTTTAGAGTATAATGACCTCAAAATAAAGGATAGTTTGAAAATTATAATTTTTTAAGAATAAAATCATATTTTTTAACAATTATATTAATAAATATCAATGACAATAAGTTATGTGTTACACGTGTACAAAGGTCAAGAGGTATATCAGTAATATTCTAAATTTGCAGAGGTCCAAATGATAAAATGACAAGTATGAAAAGATCTAAATATAATTTATCTAATTAGTTTTAGAAGGCAAATTGACAACTGTTAGTTTTAGGTGCGCATTGATATAAATTTTTATTTTTGAGTGTATAAATTAAAATTTTTTATCTTTAAAAATACAGATTAAGATTCAAACAATCCTGCGGGATACAATTTGTGATTATCCTTTATTTATAAAAACCCCCCAAAAAAATACAAAATTACAGCTCGGACGAGCGTACGAATAACGGTAACTGGGACCGCCTTGTTCCGTTCCACTATGTTAACGTCCGTATCTTTCTCCCAAATATTATTTATGTATTTACATCCAAACCGAAACGTCGGTCACTTTCCATGAAAACCGAGCTCCAGAGTTACTCGTGAAAACACCCTAAAATTTTCATATTCCGATATTTGTATCCCCATTTTCCCCAACTCCCAAAACCCTAACAACATCCGCCGTCACCGTTAAGCCACCGCACCACCACCTTATGGCGGAGGAATTCGTAAAAGCTGTCGACGACGGCTTGAGACTCTCGAAACGGATTTATTTCGGTAAAGACAGGGCCGTGGCGCCTCCGAAGCCAATGACTGCGATGGAGAAGTCTGTGCACTCGTATTTACCGACGTCGGTGATGGTGTATGCGGTGATCGGAGATCCGGCAATCGTGGACAATCCTGATATTCCTAGCTACCAGCCTCACGTGCACGGCAGGTGTGATCCACCGGCATTGATTCCGCTTCAGATGAATGGAGTAGAGCTGGAAATTGATTGTCATTTGGACACGGCGTTCGTGACGATCTCCGGTTCATGGAGGGTGCATTGTGTTATGGGAAGTCGGAGCTGTGATTGTCGGATTGCGGTTCCTATGGGTGAACAGGTGAGAAGTTTGATTCATTCATCAATTGTGATTTTCATTTTTTAAGTTCTTTAATTGATTTTTTTCTTCAGTTTTCTTTCCGGTGCCTGAGAAATGTAATAAAGAATTGCGTTTTATTGTTACGTTTTCGTTATTGAGGATACATGAAAATGAACGTTTTTTCACACAATTGAGGTTGACATGAAAATGATGTAGAAAACCATACTCTTGACCCTTTTATTGTATCCTTCACCTTTTATTTCAAAGGAACTAGAGAATTGGGGGGAGAATGGACTGGGAGATAAAAAGTGCAATTTTTTGGTTCAATTTATTTCTCTAGGTTGAAAAGCAGCAGTCTTTTTCAGAACTTGAGGTTGGAATCTATGTAATCGTGAATATGTGGCTTGTTCTTGACATTCCTGGAGTGATTCTTTGAAAAATATCAGGAGTTATTGGTGGTGTAAATTTTGTGAACAATTATGTCTTCTATCACATGCGTGATCAGGAGGGAAAAAAATGAGAATTTGTTTATGGTGGTAGCCTGTGGCCCCTTACACGTTCAAGTTGAATTTAGAGTTTTCTTCATGAATATCTTTCTAATTTCCTGAACGAGTGGTTTCATCATGTGTTGACTGGGGTGCCAAATATAATTTCTAATTTTTGTGGACTTCAGTGAGAGAACTTTATAAACTTCTTGAGTTGGATAAAATGATCTGACATGAGTTTACATTGTATAACTGTTGGTATGTGATGGGAAGCACTAGCATGTCTCTGGTTTTGATTGAGTTTTGGAATGTTTATCTTGAACTTCTTGTCTTCCACGATCATTCATTTTTTGGCTATTAAAGTGCATGCCAATGGTAGGTTTTCTTCACCGTGCTAGCTAGAGTTACTAGAGGTCAGTTTCTTTCTACTCATTAAGTAGTATGTCAGAAATTAGGGTATATTTATCTTCAAATAGTACCACAATCTTTCTTTCCAAATTGCTTTGTCAGATGATTGTTTAGGGTTTGAGCATGAGGTGATAACTTCAAAACATCACATTTCTTGACCCTTGCATTTTTCTACTACCATTTTCTGTTTTTGCTATCTGAAACTCTGAAATGGAGGGTTCACTACTAGTGCTTCTATTGTGCTTATTTTACGGGGATGCTGTGTTCATGCACACATTCGCTAACGTTAAATGTTGCTCATCTTTTGTTCTCAAGTAATATAATCATTTGGCTAACAGGGTTCAATTCTAGGTGTTGAGGTTGATGCACCGAGGAAATCATATTGTAGTCAACTGCTTGCCTTGGATGATAAAAAGGACGCAGAGAAGGTAGCCAAAGCTGAAAGTGAAGGCTTTTTGAAACCCCATATTTTTACTTTTACAATACCCCAGGCAAGTACTAATTGTATGAAATGATTTTTTTATTTGTCATGATTTAGAGTTATGTAATTCTTCCATTTTTTTTAAAATTACATGAACACACATTTGCAGGTTGATGGGGGTTCCAATATATCAATCAAAGTTAGGTGGTCTCAAAAGTTATTGTATCACAACGACCAATTCACCTTGAGCATACCATTTCATTTTCCAGAGTATGTCACGCCTGCTGGAAAGAAAATTTCAAAAAAGGAAAAGATACACCTGAATGTTAACTCTGGTCCTGGAACTGAAGTTTTGTGTAAGACAACTAGTCATCCTCTAAAGGTGCAGCTTTACCCGAATTCTGAGTTCTCCTTATTTTTTAGTGAAAAATGAAGTGACACGCATTATTTAATGTTTTTGTATATTTAGGAACTTAGACGCCACGCGGGAAGGTTGGGCTTCATATATGAATCAGAAGTTCTTACTTGGTCAAGTAGTGACTTTGTCTTCACATATACTGTAAGACCCTATCTGTATGTCTATGATGTATTCCTTTCACTTGTCTGCTATCCCAGTACATCCACAGAGCATGCCACTGGTTTATATGCTGAAGCTTAATCATCCTAGATATGCATGGGCACACTTTTCCTATTTGGAGTTTAAAGAAACTGATCTTCCTTGCATCTACATGTCAGGTTTCTCTAAGCCATATATTTGGAAATGTGCTTTTGCAATCTCCATCAGTACTTGACATTGATCAAAGACAGATGTTCTGCTTGCATCTTTTTCCTGGAGACCGGCAGAGTAGAAAGGTTTGTTTAATACCTATTTCTGTGTATTTTGATTCTGTGCATCAAGAGGAAAAGGGTCATGAAACAAGCTTGATGGATTCATTTAGATATAGACGGTCTTCATACATATGCTTATCTTATAAAAAATATCTCCAGTAGCCTTCCTTCTCCTACAGTGGATCTGGGTTGTCTTTATTCTCTATCTCAAAATTTTCTTTTCATTATCTCCTTACAAATATGTATTCTAATTTTGGTTTCACTGGAGTTTTATGATGTTTGTATCATGTGTTTTTATTTGGTTTTGGTAGGTGTTTAGAAAGGATGTGGTATTTGTTGTTGACATAAGTGGAAGCATGCGTGGAAAGCCACTTGAGGATACAAAGAATGCACTGTCAGCAGCACTCTTGAAGCTTGATCCAGAAGACTCATTTAGTGTAATAGCATTTAATGGAGAGAGTTACCTATTTTCGTCATCTCTGGAGTTTGCTACCAAGGAAGCAATTGAAAATGCCACTCAGTGGATCAGCATGAACTTCATTGGTGGAGGCGATACAAACATTTTGCTTCCCCTAAATCAGGTCTCATCTGATTCTCACATAGTTTTGACCCTTACAGATTTCACTGTTAGTTGATGCATGTATGTATAGTCCGATAGACCTTTCTTTTAGTGTCTACTTTTCTTAAATAAAGTGAATTCTCTTTGAAACTAGTTACATATACCTACTGTAAAAAAAAATAGCATATCTTAGTATGTGGATCAGTTATGTGGTATTGATTTATTAATAACATCAAATAGAAAGATAAAAGCATTTGACACATGCAGAAGCATTGAGACAAAGATCAGATAGTACCTAACATTTGCGTAGTTCAGTTGACCTTTTACGAAATAATCTTCTTCTTCTGTTTACTATGTTGCCATATGGAAGATGATATTTAGAATGTATGGTGGCAGGGTTACCACTTTTCTTCGATTCAAACTGATCAACCAAGTTTTTCTTTCATTTTGACCTTTTGTGAAATTGTTTACTGTCATCCTGTTATGGCAAGTCTAATTGGGATTCTATTTGTCTCATGTCTCAGGCCATTGAGATGTTATCCAATGCTAGCAATTGCATTCCTATTATTTTCCTTATTACTGACGGAGCTGTTGAAGATGAGAGACACATATGTGATGTTATGAAAAGTAATCTAAGAAATCAAGGATCGATATGCCCACGTATTTACACCTTTGGCATAGGTAATAATTTGTAGTTAAGCTTCTTCATCTAACATTATGATTGTGCTTCAGAAACTCTTGTTTATTATTTCAATACTTGGTTGGGGTGGGTGTGGGTATGTGGATATTAGCTATTAGCCTATTACAGTGTTAAACCTTGTGAGAATTTTTTAGGACGACTTGAGAACATAAATTCTATTTTGCTTTTTCTTTTTTCTTTCTTCGAAGCATCTCTTCTCCCAACCTTGCACATGTGCCACTCGCAGTGTTAGTACTGATTGGGGCCTTACCCTCTATGAAGTGAGAATCATTCATGGTCCTTCTAACTCACTTGTTGCTCTCTTTTTGTTACCCGGGCAAAAGCTATCCATGGGTGAACATTGTCAGGAGCACAAGATGACTTAAATCCTGATAGTTGAATTTATTTTGATGATTCTAAATCTACCAGATCATACATTATTGTCATGCTTTATATTTTTGCTAGCTTATGTTGACTTTGTCTAATGACAATATCTGAAGAGATTCATATAATATTATTTTTTCTGCATTTGGAGGCATAATGTTGCCTTTCTTTTCTGGACCATTTAGTGGACTTCTCATTTGAAAATATCCCAGGTTCATTCTGTAACCACTATTTCTTGCGAATGCTTGCAATGATTGGCAGAGGCCATCATGATGCTGCTTATGATGCAGGTAAGTTACGTACTTTTACATTGTAGACTTGAAAAGATCCTCTCTTTCTAATATGGTGCTAATAGCAGGGCTGAATTTTGGAAACTCTCAGTTCAATTGCCTTTTATGATATTTCGGTGTGGCACAAACAGATGATTTCTGAATTTGGTGCTTATTTTCGTTATGTTTTCCGGATTGATATAGTTTTGTTCCATGTATATAACCAACGATTTTTATTTCCCTTCAATAAAGTTTATATGATCTAATTTGATATAGAACCTCTAACCTACGGATCTAGAGGAATAATGATGTACTTCAATCTAACTTCTTTGAGTTTTATGTGGGGGCAAGCCTCTATTTTTTGAGCCAAACTTCCAAATAAAAATCCTTTTTCCCGCATCAGCCAGATACTTCTCTGGATGGACAACAGGTTGTTTGAACTGTCGATATTACTCTTTCAACCCTTTTCTGCTACAAGAACTCACGCTCCTTGGTAAAACCTGATGGTTAAGATCTTCCTTAGCTTGTCGATGCATGCTAGGTCACTAGACCTGTAGACTACTGCTTTGTTGGATGAGAGCATTGAACTTTATAGATTGCTGGGGGGAGTTGATACAAATGATTTCTGTGTATCTTCTGGGAACACCATCTAGTGGATCGCCCCTGATGCTGCAGTTCACATTTTTTAGCTAAAGAATTGCTAGATAGAGATGGACAGTGGACTAGAAATCCAGAAATCTTGAATTCAGTGGCCTTTGGCATGTAACTGGAATGTTGCACAGGTTTAGTGGTAGAGGATGTACTAAATCAGTTTACCCATTCAGTGATTGAAGTACAAATAGACTAACTATTTAGGGAGGTGGTGAAGGGAAATGGTATCAACCGTGAGTTTCATTGGAAGTTTGCAGATGCTTCTTGAAAACTTAATTCTTCTTTTTTTTTTCTTATAAATTTAAATTCGCATTTGGTCAGATATGATCGAGGTTCGAATTGAAGGTCTATTTGCCAGAGCTGCATCCACCATTCTGGCAAATATAGCCATTGACAATCTGGATAATCTTGATGATCTTGAGGTATGCTATGTACTGATCTGTCTTCCTAATTTTGCGAATTTTTCAACATCATCAAACCACGAAAGCATCATTTGCTTTCCCTTTACATGTCACTCAGCTACCATCTTCCTAAACCTTGCATGATTTTGCTGAGCATGTCCAAAAAGTTCATCCTTTCTTATGGTCATAATATGTGCATATTTTAGTTTTTATCCTCTAGTGGATCCATCTTGTATATTGGTAAACTATTTTTACCTTTGCTGTAATAGATTCTCATTTTACGATTTAACAAGGCATTTTCACGATCCTCGTGACAGGTATATCCTTCTCGTATTCCAGACCTTTCATCTGAATGCCTGTTGATTGTATCCGGCAGATACCGGGGAGAGTTTCCTGAAAATCTTAAAGCTATAGGTAAGCTTGCAGATATGAGCAGTTTTACTGTAGACCTGAAGGTACAAGAGGCAAAGGACATACCTCTGGACAAGGTGAGGATGCTACTTATGAGGTTTTATTATTTATTATGCAATCTGTATTCATGTTATTCTGGTGACTTCATGAGAAGAGTACTAGCATGGAACACCTTTTTCATGGCATTCAAGAACTTTCTAATTTTGCTTATTGAAATCCTTGATGCTGTTAATACTCATCAGTAATTGTAAATCATTGATGATGTTACATATACATGATTTTAAGTTTCATGACAAGAATCTATACCTGTGAAGTCAACTAAATGATGGTGATTGATTGATAGATTAAGGAGCCTCTCAGATGAAGATTACTCTTTCTGCATTAACCAGTTCCAAGTTTTTTGGTAACCTAGTTACCTCGTATAGTTTATGATTAACAATGAGTCCAGTATCCAACATGAGGCTAACTATTGATGGTAATAAATATTGGAGAATCCATGTATCGGATGACCTTATTCAATCCCAAGTTGATTCCTTCATTGATGTGTTGCCTGATAGATTCAGTTAGATATGTACTTATTGTTGGATTCCATACCATTTTTTCATGATGACAGTCCTTGTTTATGAGTTGTGGAAACTTGTTCAGTTCCATCTTTTCTGGTTTATTACTTATTCATTCCTTTTGGTTTATATCCTCAATCTGCGTGGTAGTGCACTCTCTATCATGTCTGTTATTTAGTTTTGCTTTGTCAAACAGGTACTTGCAAAGCAACAGATTGATCTTCTTACGGCTCAGGCATGGTTTTCAGAAGATAAAGAGCTTCAGGAGAAGGTCATTTTTCAGATCAGACTTGGATTATTCATTTGCCAATAATTGTCTGCTGCATTTGAAAAGATTGCCTAAGCTGTTTTACTTCTATTGGCAGGTAGCAAAAATGAGCGTACAAAATGGCATTGTTTCCGAGTATACCTGTATGATTTTGACTGAGACCGAGAAGGGGAAGAAAGCCACAGAATCAGCTGGCATACCCAAGGTATTGTATTACCTTCAATGTACAATGGTATGTGTATTTTTGCTTGCGGTCATTTTGGGCATAGCCTTCCAAATCGCATCAATTTTTTTGCAAATAAAATATACCTGCGACATTTGCTGCATGAATTTCTATCACACATCTTTCGTTTGCTTGAAACAAACCCTTGTACTCAGGACATCTAGGCAATACACAAACTTTAGAGAATCACTGCAAAGGTTGCTATGTTGTTATTGATGAATGTAGTGTAATTTGGGTCCAACGAATATAATATATATGGGTCTTTACATGGATATCATACGAGTCAGATGAATAATAAGTATCGATGGTCCTAAAAATGTGTATTGTTAATGGCTGGGATTTATGTTGATATCTGGTATACATAAATTGAGACAGGTGACGGAGAGTTAACCTGTTTTCTGCCATGTTGTTATGACTTACTATCATTGACAAGAGTGGACCATGCACAACCATTTTGATGCTAATTGAAAGATACACCAAAACAGGTTCCCAGTAAAACGGAGCCTCAGAAAATGGAGGATACAAAACGCCAGAAAATGATGGTACTGCGAAACCTTGGGGTTGGTTTTGGTAACTTGACAGCCACTTCCGAAAACCTTCCTCCTGGTGCTGATGAAACAAAATCGCCAGAGCCTGCAGAAATTCTCGTGAAGGCAGCTTCAAACTGTTGTGGCAAGATGTGCAGCCACTGCTGTTGCATGTGCTGCATCCAGATTTGTTCACGGATGAATGACCGATGTGCAATCGCACTCACACAGTTATGCGGTGCCCTTGCCTGTTTTGGTTGCTTCAGTTGTTGTGAACTATGCTGTTGTGGACACGATGGATGAGTAGGATTACATGATGAAACCTGCCAAATAGCAGTTGTATGTTTGTGCTACAATATTCTCTACTTATTATACATGTAAACGTGCTTACAAATTTTCTTGGACCTCACGTAAATTCCCCAAGGTTTTAACCTCTGTAAAGCTGTTGAATCTTGCAAATATTTGACGATAGAATTGAAGGTTTACAACTGAATTGCCGTATCTAACCGTATAATACTGGATGGAACATCCCTGAAACAGCTTTATATTATTGTACTTTGCCTGAGGAATGTTCTTTTATGCTAAAGTTTGATTTGTCGCACTTTCATTACCACCAGTACATGTCTAGTCATTCATTTGGATGAGATGGTATTATCCATAACCGGCCACCATTCGTCGCCAGCATCATTCCCAAGCACCACCAGACTAACCACAATCCCATCTCCACTTTCACCCAACTCAAGTACGGAGTCCAAGGATTAGGAACGGGTTTGGGTTCGAGCTGGATCTGGGTCGGGTTAAGATCGGGCCCTAGTTTGAGTTCAGTGTTTGAGGCCAGATTTGAGACTGGGTTTGGGGTCTGGGTAAGGTTCACTCAATTCTGATTTTTTTTTTTTTTTTAATTTCACAAAAAAGTATTATCGTGTACCAAACATAATGTTGAGGCTAGGATTATAATTCAAGTGGATTAGAGCATCAATTCATACCCAACCTAAGTTGTAAAACTTTTAACCCTAATCCAACCGAGCCTAACTTCCAATTCGAGTATTGCCAAGTTAATTTTGGGCCTAACTCAGATTAGTTTGGGTTAACTAATTTTGGGCATGACATAATAGCTTAATCAATTTAAATTCAATAAAAACCTAAAATACACTTAAATTGTGTGCATGTGTGTGTGTGTATATATATATATATATATATTATAATTTTGGGTTGAACCCAAATTGTGAATTCGGTGGAAGAGTGTAAGTTCACATTTAAAGAGTGTAAAATTTGGTGGAAGAGTGTAAAAATTTAAAGAAAATAAGAGAGAATCAAACTTATTATCTTTTTAGGCCCCTTATTTCATAATATTTTTAATTTGGGACCCCTCATTTTTTAGACCTTAAGCAAGCATTTCACTTGCTTATAGTTTCAGCCGGCCCTTGTATTGGACATCAAGATGTGAGCTTCTAGTTAAAAAAAGAAGAAAGAAATATGTTTACCATGCAAAGTCTTCATATTTAAAGCCAGCAACTTGGCTTGTATACATAGGCAAGAGCACCTATTTCATGTGAGATAGATGCAGTGCCTCCCGGCCCGAAAAAGAATAAAATATAAAGCACCCTGCAGTCACAAAAGTAGTGTAGATCTCAGATGATTGAAAAACAAACATGGGTAATTCTGAGATCGATGTTTCACGTAATCTCGTATGGCTTGCTTAATTGTAAGACTTTCCACTTTGGGAAAGTCATGTCGAAGGTTTCCAAGTATAACTTGTTGCCTGTCTCACGTAAAACTAGACACTTAGCTGTTGCTTCACTCTAAAACTTTGCACTTTGGTACAGTTATGTCGAGAGTTTCCAAATTCCAAGTACTCCGAAAATATAGTGTGCTTACCGGATATTGCGCCATGCACCGGTGAAGTTTGTCAGTTTTTTTTTTTTGTTGAGAAAATCAACTTGTGGATTCGACAAACAAATTTTGTGTTAATTTTTCATTGAATGTGGCAATAGTAGTACGACCTGATAGCTTATAAGCACACAACATTTTCTCAAACATTGTTTAGTTTTTGTTTTTGTTTTTGAAACTGCACACACTATTCTTGAATAAGGTGTGTTTAGTCGAGTGGAGACCCTCTTCCATTGCCTCTGGTCTAAATCTCAAGGAATTTGGTTCATCGGTTGGGTAACTTAGAGTGTAAAAATGCGGATTTCTTCTTGTGTATTTTGATCAAGTAACGCTATTTAGACCTAAAAAATTGATTTTATTTGTTGATCTAATAATGCGGGTTTCATTGAAATTGTTAGATCAACATCAAGTTCTAATATTTTATGGGACCCAAAATAAATTCAAAAGTAATAGTGAATTAAGTCAGCAAATAAAGTCAAATTTTTAAATTCAAATAGTATTGTTCATTTTGACCTACATGATTTGAATATCAACAACGTTCCGAATATTAATGAAACTCACTTATTTAATAGTGAAAACTGTGTCATATCACTTAAAATGAAAAACTTAATAAGAAACTTTAGTCAATATAGCAGTATTGACGATAAAAAAAAAGAAATATACAAAATGGAATGTGAACTTAGGGTTTAATTAATCAGGAGAATCACCATTTGATGAAAGTAGAGAAAGACATAATGTAGAAATGATTACTCAGATCTAGGCACATATTTATTTTTACACAATGGATCAAACACCCTTAGTAAGTAATGAAGAAAGAGAGAATCCTTAGATATAAAAAGACAATCAAAGATGAATCTAAGGGTGATGGTCTCCTAAGTTTTGAATAGTCTTAGTATATTAGTTATGGAAATCCTCAATCTTGCCTCCTTAGACTTATTTAAAAGTTTTAAGCCCATCAGTCGGGTAAAATTTTTGGATCCGGATCTAAGAGGGTGGTGGGTGTTTGACTTGTTATATTTCTGGGAAGGGATAGATATTGACCGTCTTGCATTTTTACGATTGAAATAGGACATTGAATAAAACATGTTTAAAATTTACATGTATTTATTTATGTATTCATAGAAAAGAAATATTATGTATAAGTTATTTATGCTTAAAGCATTCTTCCTCTTTGATTATCCACCGTTTGAATTATAACTACTAATAATCACTTAATCTAATAATTGTCATGTTGGAATTGTAGGATTTATCAATTTTATTTGTTGTTTGCAATTAAATGATGACACCACATTATATTAATGACGTGTTGTTACCGTTATACCCAATATTTTCCGTGAGAGCCATGTACACATGAAATATGAATTAAGTAATCAAGTTGTTAGAAAATAGTCAATAATAAGGCTAGTTATTTTTTCGAAAACACATCAAGCGATTCTTAATACTATTACCAAAGAACCGCATAGAGAAGAGAGCATGGGGATCATATGATTAACATTGAAAACTTTTGACTTACACACGTGTTGGTGTGGTACAGTCCGATGAACATTCATCAGAATTTTTTCATTTGACACGAAGGCCAGCAAGCCCCCGGCAACCCCCCACAGACATACCCACTTGCAGAAGCAAAGGATCAATTGCCCAGGTAAACTTAAATTCGTTTTACAGAGATGGCATGGAATGGACCCATGTGATGCTATGGACAACTTCACGTGCCTGCCTGGGTGGTGTCCACTGTCCAATGGGAATTCCAGCAAGAGAAATTGCAGGCCAAGCCATAGATTTCAGGGTTTTTGATTTTGTTTGACATACTTGTATCAAAGTTGGACACGAAGATGAAAATAGCAGGTGGGTTTGAGATTATATATATACATATATTTTTTGAAGGAAACCAAGTTGTACGAAAGTGTCTTCGGCATATTGTAAGATTATGATGAGCTCATAACATGCTGCATGATGTATGGTTGATGAGACCTGCATGGCTTTTAGTCGTAAATTAGAGAACACACGTTTAATCGAACAATCATGTTGTTTGGACTAAACTTGTGACTCAAACGATGTATAGAAGCTCTTCAACCAAACATATAAAAGAAGCCCAACATGTACATATTAATGTGAATTTCTGAGAATGTGTTTGGATGATAAAACCAATCCTCGAGTAATCCATGTGATGTTCAGCTGCATGGACGGTTGTGGAACTCAACTCATTATTGCTTAAATTGTGTTCCTCTAGAAAACACCTGTAGGAGCCTAAGAGATCTAGTGGGCAATTTGTTTTTTTAGTTCAATGATTAGGGGTGGATATTCGGATCAGTTTATGTATATTTTAATTAATTCTCTCTCTAGTATGATCAAAAGTTGACCATCAACGCCGAGAATAGAATATTTACGAGAAATAAAATCCTAATAACTTGATCTCAAAAGAGTTATTAAAATTTGAACTCAAAATATTTTGATTTACATCATTGAGGTTGAGTGGGCAATTTGGAACATTGTCCAAGCAGTAAGATCTGGAGGAGGGTCTGTTTAAGAAATAACAAGGGGCTACCCCATCCATATCAAGTCGAGTTGATTTGGTAGTGGGGGTGGTGAGGTTCAAGAAGAACGGTTGGTTCGGTTAGTGAGGGACATCCCCACGGGAACATGGCCTGCCTTTTCCTACTTAACCCTTCTTCTCCATGCTCTTGACACTGTCATTCATCAGATTTCTGTCTCTTATTGTTTTGTCTTCTCTCGCATATACATATACACATATATATATATACATTCACAGACATACATACATGCCCATGGCACCGCATAGTTGATGACTTTTTGAACTGTTTTAACAAGGTGAATATGAGAGATGGTCTTTGTACAGTTATAAGGTTGTTCTAGTATTTTTTTTGGTTCAATGGTTAATTCTGTTTGAACCAATTTATGTACAATTTGACTAATCTTCTCTTTAGTCTGGTCAAAAATAAGTCATCCACGTTAAAATTAGAATATTCATAAGGAATAAATCTCTCATAACTTGACCCAAGAGATTGTTAAATTTTGAACTCAGAATATCTAAATTCACGGTTCGTTTCTTATTACCACTTGAACTCTCCCAAGTTGCTTTATTATGATTTGGGTGCGACTGAATTGAATTCCAAAAAATACCTTCTTGTTTTTTTTGCATATAAGGTGAAGGCTGTATATACCTACTCTCCTCAAATTCTACATGGCAGGAGACTGGTAAAAGCTTTAAAAGTTGAGAATAGAAAATGAAAATAGACTCGTGCACTAAACAATCAGATCTCAACTTGCTGCCATATCCTGCCTATTTTATGCTGGGTGGCAGGAACAAGGACAAGGGGCTATATGGGCTTATAAATTTTCTATTGTAATGCTGGAAAGTGTGGAATTGTTGAGAATACAGCAGAAAGAGTTAGGTTCTTCACATTGGTTTTCTAGAATTTAATTGGAATGAAGTTAGAATAGTAGAGGAGGGCACTTTAATAACTTTATCGCTTGTGATTTATGGATGATTCTGAGTCAGATAGGGTCCATGAGATGGACCAAGCCATGACCTCATCATGTCACAAACAATTGCCAAATTAAGCTATATAGGGTCAAATCTAAAACATTCTGCCAAATGCTGATCTTCCTTCATATCCAAAACAGGTTCTCCTCCAATATATTAGCAGGAAT